AACCTAGTGATTCTGTGATTCTAAGTGTGTCATCAGCCACTGAATTGCAGTCATACCCATGTACGGTATTTCCTGAGATGAAGGACTGCTGCTTTCCTCTAATTTTTTTTATCTAGCAAAAGCTGTGGTAGAAACTTAAGCATATAGACGACAGTTGTTCTGCTGTTTTCTTTGGACTACGTTCAGTGTTGGTGAAAGCATTATGTTCACTGTCCTCATTCTCTATAATCAGTCCTTCAATATAATGAGGATTTAATTTCAAATGAAGGATTTACTCTTCTTCTGGTTCTCAAGGGAGCTGTCTAGGTAAGTACAACTGATGATATAGGAACATGTGCTTAAACCTACAGCAGATGAATGGAATAATTATGATATTTAGCATTTATAAAGAGTTCCCATATGTGCAGAGCTCTAGAATATAAATTAAAGCTGAATTTCACTGAGGCTTACACCATTATTCACGTTCACACAGAAGATGGTGAATGCTTTTGTATGGAGGCAGAAGTGTTGCAGTGGCACTTTTTGGGGGGTATTGGGTTTTGTTTTTTAACTAAAAGCCAAAGCTGGTTTAATACTTCATCCAAGAAATTCCATGTGGTTATTATGTACGGAGACCCACCCTGGGGTCCCACATCACTTGAGCTGATGCAGCGCTGCCCAGACCCAGAGCCATGTAGTACCGCTGCTGAAAGCCTCCTGCAGCAGTCGAGTCCTTCCATGGCCCTTGCACTGTCTCCTGTCTTTTACTGACATAACTGGTAGTGTGGCAAAGCTCACCGAGGTGGATGAAAATAAGCCTGGGCTTTACGAAAAAAAGACCCCTAGGTCAGTATTCTGCTGAGGTTCGCTGAAAGGCCAAAGAAGCATGAGGATGAGAGTGGCTACCCAGCAGCAATAACAGTCATAGCTTCCAGGAAAAGCTGGCAGAATGTAGCTTTGTAAACCACTTAGTGTTTCTGAATGTCTGACCAATTAACTGAGCTGGAGTTTACGTCATGGGGTTTTACAGTAATTTAAACTCCACTTGATCTTACATGGTTTTCTGTGTGCCTAGAATGATTTAAAAAACTACTTTTTTTTTTTTTTTTTAAAAAAAAGAGAGAAAAAAAGGTTGACTAGATAGTAGTTCTGTTTTGCTGGGGGAAGGGACTACTGTGTTTTAGTGGCAGAATGGGGAATATACTCTCAGCTGTGTCTTTGGTAGCTCTTTCGGGTGTGTATCACTTATTTCTCAAACCGTTAAAAAAGGATTTGGAGGCATTGCATGTGCTGCAACTGCAATCTCTTTTTCTTCTGGTTTTGTAGTGGGTCCATCAATGTCAACAGAAGCTGATGAAACTGAAAATTGGATTGCAGTTTCTGGTTCTCAGAACAATGAACCCTGTTTTCTAGGTGGTGGATTAGGAAGAGAGCATCTTAGGATGAGCGCCTTGTTCTTTAAGGTCACCCCTGAGAGCATACTCTGAACCAAGTGGAGGTCCAGGCAGTCAGGCTTCTCCCCTTCATACTGTTACTGGTTTTTTCTGTCACTAGGCGGTCTGCAAAGAAATTTTGGAAAAGTACATACTTAATTTTTCCAATTTTCACATCATGTAACTATCTAGAAGTTATCCTAAAATATTTTGCATATGATGGATATTTACCACTGGATCCCAGGTACTTCAGGTTTGCTGTTTCAAATCAGTCGTCTGCTAAGTGACCGACTTTGCACTGTGGCATCTAGATTTCAATGTTGTGCAGATTTCTTTGGTTTGCAAGTGAGTACACTTCGCCTGCTATCTGATGCTCAGAGCTGTCTGTCTACTCTAACTGCATTTTTGTTGTTCCTGTCAGAATGGGAGGTATTCCAGCTAAAAGCCATAAAGGAGAAAAGCTGCTTCTATTTATGGGTATTATTGATATTCTGCAGTCTTACAGGTAAGTTGAATTTCAAGTTTTTATTGAATAAGCTATTCTGAAATGACTTACAAATGTGGAAATTTTATAAAGCAGTTTTGATTTTGTTTTCTTATGCTTAGGTTAATGAAGAAGCTGGAACATTCTTGGAAAGCTCTTGTTTATGATGGGGCAAGTAGATTTGTTTTTTTTTTTTTTAACTGCTAATATTTTTGCTAATGGAACTTTGTTTTATGTTCACCAGGAAAGAGCAAGCTCAGGTATATTTGTACTCTGCCATCCCCACGTGGTATGCGCTGTTGCTGAAATCTTTTAGATCCATTTCCCAGTATATGCTCTGATTTTATTTGCTGATCTTTCAAAAAGCAACCAAAAAGATCAGCTTGAACTTAATACCTTACACAAGACAATGGCCACTTAGCAGGACTTTGATGAATCTCTAACTATAAAAATTCATAATGTGAAAGAAGCGTTTCGAATGCTAGGAAGATTTTGCAGAATGTGGCTGTTTAATTCACAAGTCGTAATTTCATAAATAAGATACTTAAGTTCTTGAAGAATTAACCTTTAAAAAGGAAAAACTAGTTAAGATTCCCTTGTTTTGAGTATGCCTGAAATGTATGATATAGTTACCTGATGTGTCCAGCTTCTTTCTTGACAACTTGTGGTTTACTTACAGAAAATGTGACTGAGACCTTTTCCAATCTTGCAGGATACTGTTTCAGTTCACAGACCAAGTTTTTATGCAGACAGATTTTTAAAGTTCATGAGTACAAGAGTCTTCAGGAAAGTTCAAGGTAAGGAAGTTGTCACTTTCACTCTCTTAGATGTTTTTAAAATCATTACCTTATAATGCTCCTGCCTTGATAATGAAAGAATCATTTCTTCAACATCATGTGGCACGTATAATGACAGAAGTTGAGTTTCTTCACTGGAGCTAGTGGGATTGGTTTTTTAATAGTAAAGTAACAGGGAACTATTTGCTATGGTTTTTTTGCTACATCAGGGACATCTGAAGGTAAAACAGTAAAAAAAAAAAGTCCCTTATATTAGCACTGATATAAAGATAAATTTCATTATCTAATCATTTGTTCAGTCCTGCATCTGTTATTCATAGGAATACTCCCATTGAATTTAATTTATTCATTTTGCAAAAGTAAAGATTGTTAACATACCACCTGCAGCATGTTTGAAAAGACTGTCAGTTTTCCTTTTGATATGGATTTCTTCTGTGTTTTATCAAGGAAAAAAATCAGAAGTAGTATATTAATAAATTCTTTTGTCTTTGTCACTATCGCCTCTTTCTAGTTTTACCCTCCATTTCTCCTTCCTTAATCTTTTCATTCATTCTCAAGGGTAAGATACACATCGCTATCAGCTACTTACAAGGTGTGGTGGACTGACCTTGGCTGCACACCAGGTGCCCACCAAGCTGCTCTATTGCTCCCCTCTTCAACTGGACAGGGGGAGAAAAATATGACAAAAGGCTTGTGGGTCAAGACAAGGACAGGGAGAGATCACTCACCATTTACCAATTACTGGCAAAATAGACTGGACTTGGGGAAATTAATTTAATATATTACCCATCAAAACAAAAGTAGGGTAATGAGAAATAAAACCAAATCTTAAAAACACTTTCCCCAACCCCTCACTTCTTCCCCGGCTCAGCTTTGGTCCCCATCTCTCTATGTCCTCACCCTGGAGCTGCACAGGAGAGTAGGGAATGGGGAGTTTCCTTGTCAGTTCATCACATTGTCTTTGCTGCTCCTTCCCCCTCAGGGGGTAGAGATCCTGCGTGGGGTCCCTCCCATGGGAGACAGTCCTCCATGGACTTCTCCAGTGTGAGTCCTTCCCACAGACTGCAGTTCTTCACTAACTGCTCCAGCTTGAGTCCCTTCCATGTATCCTTCCCACGGGGTGCAGTCCTTCAGGAGCAGCCTGCTCCTTGTCCCCCATGGGGTAACAAGTCCTGCCAGCAAACCTGCTCCAGCCTGAGCTGCTCTCTGTTCACAGGCCCACAGCTCCTGCCAGGAGCCTGCTCCAGCATGGGCTTCCCAAGAGGTCACAGCCTTCTTTGGGCATCCCCCTGCTCTGGTGTGGGGTCCTCCCCAGCCTGCAGGTAGGTCCCTGCTCCCCCATGACCCTCCATGGCTGCAGGGCACAGCTGGCCTCACCATGGTCTGCACCACGGGCTGCTGGGGAATCTCTGCTCCAGCACCTGGAGCACTTCGTCTACCTCCTTTTCCACTGACCTGGGTGTCTGCAGAGCTGTTCCCCTCACGTATTCTCATTTGTCTCTTTGGCTGCTGCTGCTGCACAATTTTTTTTTCCATCTTCTCAGATACGTTATCCCAGAGGTGCTGTTGCTGAATATTCTTGGCCAGAAGCAGATCTGTCATGAAGCCGGCTGGCATTGACTCTGTTGGACATGGGGGAAGCTTCTAGCAGCTTCTCGTAGAAGCCACCCCTATTAACCCCACTGCTACTAAAACCCTGCCATATGAACCCAGCACACAGGGGAGAGAAAACAGCCAAGAGAAACTCAACATCACTACAGAGGGGCATTGCTACTGAGAGTTGTCCAAAAGCTTAGGTTTAAGTCTTGCATCAACGATATAACTATTGATTGTCATCTCTTTTAAAGAAAATGAATTGATTTCTGTGACTTAAAAGTAGACCTTGAAACTGTAGGTTATCTTAGGCACTGGGGATGGAAGGTAAATTGATCCTACATAGGTGAGTTCTTCCTGCATGTAGTATTTTAACCCCAGTGAGTAGCTGAGCCCCCCACAGCTGCTTGCTCACTCCCCACCCCAGTGGGATGGGGAGAGAATCAGAAGGGTAAAAGTAAGAAAACTCTTGGGTTGAGATAAGGACTGTTAATAGGTAAAGCAAAAGCTGTGTGTGTAAGCAAAGCGCAAGAAGGAATTCATTCACCACTTCTCATTGGCAGGCAGGTCAGCCATCTCCAGGAAAGTAGGGCTCCATCATGCAGAATGAGTACTTGGGAAGACAAATGCCATAACCATGAGTGTTTGCCCCTTGCTCCTCTTTATCCCTTCTTTTATTGCTGAGCATGACATTACATGGTATGGAGTATCCCTTTGGTCAGTTGGGGCGAGCTGGCTCAGCTGTGTCCCCTCCCAACTTGTGCACCCCCAGCCTCCTCACTGGTGGGATGAGAAGGCCTTGATGCTGTATAAGCACTGCTCAGCAGTAGCTAAAACCTTGGTGTGCTGTCAACACTGTTTTTGTCACAGATCTAAGATAGCGCACCACAGAGGTACCACAAAGAAAATTAACTTTGTCCCAGCCAAAACCAGTGCACTGTACCTTGGCAAGTGCTCCAGACGCTTCAGTAACTACCATGTAGGTGTATGAAGTTAGATTTCAGCAAAAATACTGCAGAATTCGCTGTCACGTTTTGTTTCTTGGTTGCCAACTGAAAAGAACAAATGTTGCCTTGGTCCCATGGAGTGAGCAGTATAGATATTTTATCATAATCTGGGTGCAGCTATGAAGCAAAACAACAGAATTTACAGGTGTTAAGGAACAGATTTATTTTCAGACTTGCTGCATTTGGCTGACTTTAAAAAATAACAGGGGGAAATCAGCTACCATTCAAGAATATGCATCTTGAACATAAGTTCATAGGTACCTTGAATTACAGTTCCTCCATGCGTGATAAGCATATTCTTACTGTGCAGTAAAAAATCCCCCAAAACCCAAAGTTTTGGGATTCATCTTCTTGCAGGCATCTTCCATCAAAAGGTCAGATCAGGTTTTATTTTCACTAAAATTTTTGCCGCTGGAAGTCAGTATTTTTCAGATTGTACCTGCTTTTGTTACTCTGAGTTCTGTCTAAAGATAATATGACTTTTCTTAAAACCATTATCCAGCTGTTTCCGGAAAGAATCAAATTATTTCATAAAATCATAGAATCACAGAGTGGTTTGGGTTGGAAGGGACCTTAAAGACCATCTAGTCCCAACCCCCCTGCCATGGGCAGGGACACCTTCCACTAGACCAGGTTGCTCAAAGCCTCATCCAGCCTGGCCTTGAGCACTTCCAGGGATGGGGCATCCACAGCTTCTCTGGGCAACCTGTTCCAGTGCCTCACCACCCTCTCCATGAACAACTTCTTCCTGATATCTAATCCAAACCTCCTCACTTTCAATTTAAACCCATTACCCCTTGTCCTGTCACTACAGGCCCTTGTAAAAGTCCCCCCCAGCTTCCTTGTAGCCCCTTCAGGTACTGGAAGGTGCTATAAGGTCTTCCCTAATTTGGAGTCATCTTGTGCAACTCTGACCCTGTCCATGAAAACCATTGTTAGAGACATGGCAGGTTAGAACAACATATGTGTTAAGGTCTAAAGAACTAGAAAGAAGTGGGAAAACTGGTAACTAAGAGCAACAAGAAATCAGACGTGTATAAGATAAGTACTCTGTGAAATTACTAAGTAAGAAAAAGAACAGGCTAGACTGAAAGGAGAAAGCTGAAAGTAGCTGCACTAAAAAAAAATAAAAAATATTTTAAACACAGTGTAGGAGTCTTTAGAAGAAAAAGAGGATATTAATTAACCCTATTTAGTGATTCCCTGTATGCATGGTATGTTGTGACAACTATTCAGGAAAGCAAGACACTCGGAGAGTTTATAAATATTAATGAATTGGTGGATGATTCCTCTGTGAGTTGGTCATGTTACCGAAAGGCAATAAGGTCTGAGGCATCGCAAGTGCAGAGACGGACAGGGAGGACTGCTGAGGTGCATTCTGTGTATATATAGTAAGGGGGGCTGCAGGGAAGACCTGATAAATATACCAGCAAGGTGAAGACCAGGGTGCTCTCTGGGGAAAAGCTGTTCTAGTTATCTGAGCAATGAGGTGTTTCCCAACAGCTATGGCAAGTGATATAAAACTTTATTATAAGACATGAAAATCAGCTGACTTAAATATCATGCATCCATACTGACTGCTTTACCACCAAATTATTTTTTACCTCTGTGGAGGTGCTGAAATTGCACTATTAACCAAGAATACTCTGCTTAGGCTCTAGGAAATGGTGGTGTGTGAGTTTCAAGGCTTTTTATAAAGCAGAGTTCTTGACAAATAGATACAAATTGACTGGCTAGAACTATGTAGTTTATAGAGGAACTTGCACTTTAAAATGGATCCTAGTTAGCAGTCTAATAATCCTACTTGTGGAACTGTATTTGGTTTGGAGTTGGATGTCAGTGTGGAATGGACAGTTGGCTCAAGTACTACAGAAGTATTGACCTATGTTATCATATCAAACTGATAGAAGGTGTTTTGTAAATACCTTTTTGACCAGTGTTACGCTGGTCTCTTAACCCTGTCATTAGTCACCTGGAGTGAGAAGTAAGTCTGTGTGGGTGGAGGTAGAACAAAACACAAATGCAGGGTAGAACTAAGTGAGATTGAAGTGAAACAAGATTGACTACAAATACTAGCACAAGTTAACAGTTTAAGGTGTTAAATATTAAATCCTTAATATGAAAATAAAATAATTTGATATAATATGACAAAATATGATGCCAAATTTGGCTGAAAGGAAGAAGGAGCCTCCTGAGACTCAGGGCTCTCAAACCGTAGAATAATTTTGCTGGAGAACTTCTGGGAGCTCTGTTGTCTGAGACAATACTCAAAGGAAATCCTCTGCACTGATGGATAGTAAGGAATAGTCAACTTGATACTTCTGTCTGTGGTCAAAGTAAATGTCTGATGCAGCCATATATGTTTCCTGAACATTTGAGTCTGTTTTCGGTTCTTTGTAAATCTGCCTGCTACATTTATGTCAGTACAAGACAAAACCCATTCTGTATTTGAAAACTACAATGTACAATTAAGGGCATCATGCCTCATTTTCTCTCTGATCTTAATTTGACTGTCTTATTTTTCCAGGCTATTAACCTGTCTTAATATCTCACTCTTACTGATCTGCTCTGCATACAAGGCTATTAATCCACCTTTATACATATTAATGGTTCAAATGCATTATCATTCTTACGTAAAATAAAGAATTGGGAGTGTTCCTGCCTTCAGGAATATTGTTTCTGAACTTCATGTTAGACATTGCAGTTTAAACTCTTAAGCCTTGTCCTGAATGTGGGTTTTTTACCCCAGTGCACAGAACAAGCCTCCATAAATTACATTAAAAATATAACAAGCAGATTCAGCCTTGGGCAAAGGCTAGCTCAGCAGATATCTACTATGTTACTCTTTTAACCAGATACCTACTATGTTATTCTTTTAACAATGCCCTAGAACTATGCATCTGATTCTCTTCTTCAGTCTTTAGCCAAGTGGCTTTGATACTTTTAACTTTGTAGTAGAGCACAGTATGAACTACTGCAGTGCATCTGGAGTAACCTTGCAGCCAGGGCATGGAGATCAGCAGCTGGGAACTGAAAAACACTAAATGAACTGGTTGGCATCCTTCCGCAGAAGAACTACCAACGGGAGCCATGGTTCAGTAGTATTGGCAGTGGTCAGATCCTAGACTTTTCACCCAGAATGCCATTGTAAGTAGGCAGGCTCTGGTAAGAGTTAAAAGAGGATGCTCACATCTTAGTGTGCAAGTCATAAACATTTTGGAAGTGTTTATTTTACCCAAAGATGATGTTTGACATGGCAATGAACTGGTAATTAGGCAGTAGCACACACATAATTATATAGCAGTAGTTGACAGCTCAAGGAAATTATCATAACCTCTCAGAATACTCCAAATGTCTTTTCAGTTTCCCTATCTTCTGGGGTTTTTTTTGTTTGTTTGTTTCTTTATCATTCTGTCTCTGATTACATGGGTTGATACTCAGCGGGAGATTTGTAACTTTGTGATGTCGGAGTTGGTTTACAGACTTGGTATTTTATTATCCTGTGAGCAGTGAGAAACCCTTGAAAAGACAGAATTACTTCACTCATAAGTGAAATAACAATGCTTTTGCCTCTAGTGTTAATACAGTGTTTGATAAGTGGGTTTGTATCTGGATGTGTTCTTCGTCTGTATTCAGAAACTCTAGCTTTATAGATGGCTTGCTTTTCTTATGCTGTTGAAGATGTGCAAAGAGGTAGGATGACATCATTCAACACCTGTGTTCATTTGATAATGCAGCTTTAAAGTATTCACCTTCAAAGAAACGATGCAATTCCATCACAGCTCTAAAGGCAACATCACAAGAAATAGTGTGTGCAGTTACCCAGGAGTGGAAGGATGAAAAGCATGGCATTCTTGCTGAAGGACAAAGCTATGCCAGCCTTGATGAAGAAGGTAATGTCTTTCTAACCAATAGCCTAAACAATGTTTTTAAAGGAATTCAGCATAAGCTCTAGAACCGCTAAAAGTAAAAAGCTTCTATTCTGGCCAATCTTTCAGAACTTCAGAGTTGGGTTATTTTGGTGGAGAGAATTGTTAGTTGTATTTGGCAGAATGGACTTTCAGGAGCAAGAGGAAGTCAGAAACAAGGTTATGGTATGATGTTACACCTTTGGATTTCAGAAGGTGCTAAAATAAACTTATCCAGACCAGGTACTGGATTAAGGCCAGGGCCAGTGCATTTCTTTTCACCGACATTTAAACAAACATGACACATGAAGTGTTTCCAAAATCAATTCATTGTTTCCAGAATCTTTTTGAAGATTTTGGCCCTTTCAGAGCTTATCTGCAGCCAGGCTCAAAGGAGAACCAACCTCCTAATCCCATCTGAAAACTGAGCCCTGATAGTGTGAGACCAGTCCCAGAGCTTAAAGTCATCAGATATTCACACCACTATTTAATATTTGACCTTGGGGTTGCTCTGTATTCTGCTGAATGTACTGGCTAGCAGCTGAAATTTACCCTGTAACACAGGAGAGTGTGGGTGTGGGCACATGAATATTACAGTCTCGTCGATTTAGACTTACTGAGAAGTTTCAAGAAGCTGTTGAGCGCACCGTGTGACTCCTTACACTTGCATAACGATTCCTGGATCTTAACATTCTTCAATTTGAAATTAAATTTGATAATGTTGAGTCTTTTCTTCTTTTTGTATGCAGTACTAGGTTCATGCCACCGGCCAGACCTAGTGCCAAGCACTCCATCTCTCTTTGAAGCGGCTTCCTTGGCAACCACAATTTCTTCTTCTTCCTTGAATGCAGATGAGCGTTACCGGCGCGATCAACCTATGCTCTATTCTAGCAGGTAAAGGCTGTATATGTGGTAGAGCATTCCCTACTGTTTTCCTGGAAGTCTAACAGTGTGTGCAGTGGAGGGGGGCCCTGCAAAAGAAAAAGTAGAACAGGCAAGTGTCTCTCTAGCTTGGTCTTGAACCTCTCCAGTGAAGGAGGGGTGCCATAAGCCCATAGGATTTGTTATGTGTTTGTTTGTTACTATATGTATTATGATTGGGGTCACAAAACAGAAAACATAATCACAGCAAAAATGTTATAGTATAGTTTGAGTATTTTGTCATGCTCCAAAACTAAACTGGGCATTAAAAACTTGCCTAGGCCTTAGTCTGTGCCATAAACCAAACTACATTAAGATCAGCGTAGAAGATGCTTGTAGCTTGGCTGTAGTCTAAACCAGCTTCAGAACAACTGTAGCATGCTAGGAAAAGGGACCTGCTTTCCAGTTGATCTTTATTCTGAATGTACAGTGCAGAACAGTCTGCTTTAAATTCTTTCAAAACAACCATTTTCTGAAGTCAGTTTCTGTGAAACTTCATCCGTGGGTGTGATTAGAGCTTGTCCAGTTTTAACCCAGGAAGGATAAAAACAGGGAAGTGTGAAGAAAAGTTGTGCTGATGCTTGTGAGCTAGTTTGAATGCGATCTGAGTTGTGTTTGAACATACTTCACCCACGACTGTCTGATGCCATGCTTAGGCTAGTAAATCTTGCTGGGAGATCGTCTACATGTGCCTGTGCCCTATCTTCTGCACTTGAAATGCTCTGTGTCATGTCACCTTGCCTGCTCGCAGATGTCTCATACTGCAGAATAACCATTTCTATGTCTCTTTTTGTCAAGACGTGTAACTGCTCTGAACTCAAGTATCTTCAGTTTTGTTTGGAATAGTTTGGAATCCTGGACTACACAGTGTCTGTCTAAATTTGATGAGCTTACTCATGTGCCAAGATGTAGTTCTTTAAATTGCATGTTGTCCAAAAAGATCAAGTTATTTTAAAAGCAGTCATAAGGATCCTACCTATTAAAATTTGATGAGCTGTATTTTCATAATGTGCTGGGTTTAATTAGGGTGGAGTTAGTTTTCCTCACAGTAGCTTGTATGGGCTGTGTTTTGGATTTCTGCTGAGAAGAGTATTGATAACACACTAATTTGTTGTATAATCTGTTTTCTTTTTCATTATTTTAATTATATATTATTAGCAATGTTAGTATTATTGGTATCATAATTTCATTTACTTTCCGTTTTTACATTGTTCTTATCTCAACCCATGAGCTTCCTTGTCTCTCCCTCTGATTCTCCTCCTCCACTGGAGGAGAGGGGAGGTGAGCAAGGGGCCGTGTTGTCCTTAGTTGCTGCCTGGGATTAAACCATGTCACGCAGAGTTACCTGTTCATAGTGATATTTTCAGCTTCCATTGTTATTCATTTGAAATAAATCTCTCTGAATTGGCATCTTCCATAGATCTGATGTTTTGCCATAAAAATGTGGAATGAGTTATAGTTTGGGGTGTAACCAAGATTAAATTTTAATTACAGAACCATTATAAGGTGTCCCAAAATGCATCTACACAAGCTTTGGGAAATAAAATTACTACTGAATACACATTAGTAGAAACAGAGCTCCTTTAATTCAGCTTCTGTCAGTCTTGTCCAGTTTGTGACAAAGTTAGCTGTAGGACTTCAATATTCCGAGATCTTCGACCAGGGTTTAGGTTTGGTAAGAAATAAGGTTACACTGGGGTTCCTTTACTTGCTTTAAGCATCCAATAAAGCTACGACACTACTTTGTGTTAGCAGCAGCCATCAAAGGGTAACTGCTGAGCTGTCTGGATAAAGAGTCCAGATTTCAAACGCTTCAAATACTGTTTACTCTCCATAAATTAATTGTGGGGAAAAGCTGTAAGTTCATGATATTTTCCTGTAAAGGTATTCCAAAATAATTTAAAAATAAATGAAGTTTTTAGCAGATCTACACTTTGAATGTATGTTTAGACTTGTTTGATGGAATCACAACTGAAGAGCAATGTAATAGCCTAAAATGTAGTATCTGTTGCCAATTACATGATTACTCAGCACATCTTTATCTTAGAAAATCAGATTGGAACTGTAGTGTCTGCAGTCCAGGTTTGCATACTTCCCGTTTCATCAGTGCAACAGCACATGCTCCCTGACACGGCAGACCTTGCACCAGCATTCACAGAGGTGTGGCTCTTCACATGTGTCAAAAACAAAAGACCTCTCCTCGTAGCCAGGAGACTGGCCGTGGGGGCTGACCAACTAACTTCCTTGCTTGCCTCAATGCATCCTCTTCAGCTCAGGCTTGGTGGCAATTCTTTCTGCTGATCAAGTACTGATTCATGTCACAATCTCAGCATGTACCATTCACAAGGATTAGCTTCCCTGTCGTAGCTAGTGGCTTTCTTTGAGGTTTTAAGGAAGCTGCTAGGCATGCACACTATTAAACTGATTGCCCCATGATGATTCTGGGCATCTGCAGTTTTGTTCCCACCTCTGCTTTCAGCATCAGTGCAGGGAGGTCCTTACTCCTTCATGGCACTGAATAGTATATCCAGCTCAAGCTTTATTTATGTTTTTATGGTACATTGGAGTAACTGGCAGGGAAGTAAAAACACCAAAACCCCCATGCTGCAGTGATGCTCTGAGATCCTTCTCAGTGGAGTTCTGCTTCTGAGTGTTAGAAAGTGTTGTCATGCAGGACTCATCAGTTTGCCATTTGTCTCTGATAAACAGAAAGGGACAGTCTTTGTAACGAAGACTGAATGAATGATTTGTTTACACATGCGAACCTGCTCTCAGTCTTTAAGTATGTAATTGACTGTGACATTCTGCTTCAAGTTATTTAATAGAATTACAGTTCGGCATCTTCTTCATCAGGCTTTTTCCTCCTCCTTCAAAGTGTCCTGGCACAAAATGGGAGTACACAAATTTCCATGTAACCAGTCAGAAATCTCAGGTTTAGGGTAATACAGGCAGATAATCCTGTGTTCGTAATAATAAGGCGGTATCTGTACTGCTCCTCACTCCCGTTGATGCTAACGAGCAGTAAGTGCCCAGGGAGACGGCAGATGCTGTTATCTCCCTAGATAAAAGAGCGCAGTAATACTCTTGGATACCTCGAAGCCCATGCTGTATTTGTAACTTTGTTTTTTTCAGAACTGCCTTATGTTTCTATTGGCTGTGAATGTAATTGTTCTCCAAGGAGAGGGAAATGGTATTTTATATGAGAAGGGGTCTGAGCACCATCTCTCCTTGAGGGTGCTCAGCGCTTGTGGTCGGAAGCGAGGAATTGCTGTCAGTGTAGTTAAGCAGACACAGGTGGCTTACGGAGCGGCCCAGCTCTTCTGGCTGTATCATGTGAGGAAGGTTTATGTAGACCTGGCTTGATGAAGATTAGTACGAGCATAACTAATTGGTAGACAATGCAGAGCAGCATTTAGGGACTTGTGATTAGAGTAAAAAAGAGAGGCTGAGCAGCAGTCATAAACTCCAGCTTATTAGGAATGTTTTGCCAGACTGCTAGCTGATTACTTTCACCAAGGTATTCCTCAGTTCTTGAAGAGTTAGGGGGAACTCGGGGCGTTACCCAGGCAGTGTGAAGAGGAACTGATAAAAGCAGTGAATGAAGGGACAGTGGGAAGGAGAATGTGACTGTATTTTTCAGCACGAAAGGAACTTTATCAAAAAAAGGGAAATAAAAAGGAAAAAATAGGCAAATGTGACATATGTTATTCAGCAAATGTAGCTTCCTTGTTTGTCAAAAGACAGCTGGTTTCTGTTCTGTGAAGCTGTTCCTCAGTCAAGTGGTTATGTCATAAGCAGTGTCAAGTACTTGTTTAGTAAGAGAATAGAATTGACAATTTATTGCTTCTGTTAAAGTTTTCAAAGATTTTGCATTCCCCCTCAAGTAGGTTTATATTTGGTGCAGAGATATTTTAGTACCTAAAAAGTCTGTTTTCCACTAGAATGTATGTTCAATTTTGTGTCCAAATACACTCTTTTGAAAGGGTTTCTTTGCTCTGTCTTAGGAAATACAATACTTACACATCATTTCAGGAATTATTTTTATAGCAGAAGTGATAATGGGTTTTCTTCCCCCTTATAGGTACAGTTTTACTAATAAGTACTGGTGAATTAAATTAAAGGTGACAAATCTGAATGTCCTGAGCAGTATGACTGTTGTCTCGGTTGACATTGTTTTTGCAATTACAATTACCATGTTAATGCCTTTACAGGTGCTTCTGGAAATGTTCTAAGCAGGATTTGTAAGGTAGATGGGGAAGAGACTTCCTGTTGTATCTTTCAACAGGTCTCACAGCTTCTAGTCACAAACCTCTACAAAAAGGGACACTTCAACTCTCTTGTCTCTAGAGCAGCAGCAAGGTCCTGCAGGATGTATACGCAGGATTGCCGAGTTCTTCTGATTATGTTTGAGCCTAGGAAAATAACCTGAATGACATCCAACTTTTTTTCCTATTTATGTATTCTGTAACTTCTTTCTGTAAGGTGTGTTTATGTAGTACAGTCGTCTGCCTTCTCTTTCCTCTTCTTTCTGCTTTTCTCTATATTTTTCAGTTGTTTGTTTGCCTTAACTTTGTGTTATAATTTTGGAAGGCTTTGAGAGAGTTGTGGGTTTTGTTTCTCTTCAGTAGTCAAAACTTCCTGAAACGTCTGTATTTTGAATTGAAATGTCCCATGGCTTGACATTTTGTCAAATGATCTTTTCAAAGACAGGTTAGAAAACAAAAGTAAAATCTGCAGGTTTTTTCAGTGGAAGGGATTTGTAGGTGTTAGTTTTCCTGTTGTAAGGAGTACTTACTCACACCTTCTGCCAGTCTGTTTTTTTCTGTAAACAAACCTTTGTGTGTTAAGTTTAAATGTTTAAATGTCTGTCCACACAGCACCCTTAGCTTCTGAAGCTTAGACAAACTTGTCTGAACCTGATTGAAAGAGGATTAATGGAAGCTTCATGAAAATAAACAGCTAGGTGAAGTAAA